ATAGAACACTCTCAAAAACACCATGAGGACTGCCACTCTTGAATTCCAGAAGACCCACCAACAGGTCACAGGAATAGTGGATTCCCTGTGCAAGAGTGTGTGATACTCCTTCCGTTCTTTATATCCCTGATCTGTTTCACACTTTTTCTAGGGGATGCTGGTGCTCCAGGCTCCGAGTGGCTTATGCCTGTTGGTGTAGGGAGAGTGGCAGAAGACTGGTGCTGATGGACATCTATGGAAGCTAAAGGTACGTCTGTTTCTTTGCACTATTCCAGAGAGGCCTCACCTAATGCCTGAGGTATAAACGCTTGGCCCCAAGGAGAGTATGACTTCCAAAGCAGAGCTGGCGCTCACTAAAAATGTGTGCTCAGCTCAGGTGTAAATAGAGATGGGAGACAGAAGAAGTGAGCATTCACACAAATTATTTTTTTAAAGCTGAAAAGCAAACTTTATTAAGGAAAACTGAGATTGTACATATTTTGTGGACAAGAAAAGACTGGAGGGAATTTAATAATTAGAAAGAATGTTTTCTTCCAATCCATTGAGAGGAAGGATATAAGAAATTGACTTAGAGAATGAAACAGTGTTTAAATATTACAACATACTTCTTGATGTGTGGCTTTTGCTACAGCTTTTAAATACACAGTGACTCTCCTCAGAACATCTTTATAAATATTATGAGTTTGGCATTTACAGGTCAATAATTAAACCTTTTGCAAACTACTACTCCCAATGGTCCAATGTCTTTTCACTTGTGATAAATATACTATTTGATGACTGTTTTTTCTTTGAGAATTTGGTGTCATCTTGTGTGTGTGTGTGTGTGTGTGTGTGCACGTGACAGAAGCTATTCATAGGCTCTCTGATACTTTTTATTAAATTACTACTCACAACTCACTAAAAAATAGAAATCGGGGTTCTTTTGACCATGTGTGTTCTAATTTCAGGGTTTCTTTAGGACTGATACCCAATTTTCCCCCATCCTTTTCATGGCCCAATATGCACCCTCTGTTCAAGGTCCTGGTTCCTCAGGTTGGAATGATACAATACATGGGCGTCCCTGTGGTCCCATGGGTCAGTGTGAGAGGTCACCTGAGGCAGTACACCATTGTTCTTTCGGTAGAACTTTCGAGGAAAAAGATCATGCTAAGGGTAGACTGCTCCTAGCATTTTTTCTATGATATATATGAAAATAAGTGAAACACAATATCCCAGCTGCAGCTGGGATGATATTATAGTGAATTAAAAATTTTAAGATTTAATAATTTTCAGATAGAATTAATGTAAACTCAGAAAGACAGACTTTTGAATGCCTCATTCTATAGTCATTGTTCTGTATCTGATAAGTCAGGATGGCTTGCATGAAGTTTCTTTACTTTTTATCCCCAGATAATCACATTAGACTGTTTGTTGCCACTTAGAGTACCCTTTCTATGAGGGCACATTTGGGAGAAAGTATCGATATATTTGGAAATACTCCCCTTATTGCTTATAAAATGTAGGTGAATAATGGTTTCAGATGAGTGGCATAAGCCACCTTTCATACTGTGCTCAGCGTGGCAATAAATGTTGGCTACAGGACAGAGGGGGAAAGATGCTCGCATTTATAGAGTCTTCACTAATAGCCTTCTGCTTTGAGCCAGGCTGGAATGCAGTCCCTGGGTTCTGATTAGTCAGTGACATCTAGTGTTACAGCGCAGAGATCTCTGCCTCATCATCTTGTCTGTTATTCCTAGGATCCTAAAGAGAAACCGTTTTCAGGAAAATGGTTTCTGCTACTGGTAACATGGTCTGTTTCTCACTTTAGGTCATTGTTACCTTAATGCTAATTATAGTTTCCAGAATAAGTGTAGTTAATCAGGCCCTTGTGGAGGTCAGGTGGGAGAGGCTAATTCCACAGCTGGGAGCAAGGGTGGTGGTGGCTGGTTTTTGTACCCGACAGTCTGGGCTGAGTCTCTGATGCAAGGGCACATGGGGATTGTTAGGGGCAAGGAGAGGGAAACAAAGATGTTCTTCAGTGCTCTCTTTGTTTCAAAGATGGAGACATAGATTATGCGATCATTTCTAAGATGGTCCATCTATACTGAAGTTATGCTAATTCCTTGAAGAGACTGACAAAACTGTTTATCAATAGCCTTAATATTTAAGAGCTGTGCTTTTACCCTTTTTGTGTGTGTGTGATATTTCAAAAGAGCATTTCAAAGAGAAGAAAAACAGAATGAATTGGTAACAGCTGATGGGCGTCACAGTCCATTAATTGTCGAGCTTTTGCCTTATCGACTATAAAAACCTCTCAGGATCAAATGAGATAATGTACGTGTAAACACTTCAAAAGTAGGTGTCACGTCAAAAGAAAAACTCTATTTATATGCTTTATATCTGCTTGAGCCCTGGGGCTGTTTTTCCTCTTGGTACCCACTGATATCTAGCAGAGTGCAAAATTGAATATTTTCAAGTTTTTATTTAAGCAGCATGACGTTGAGATGTACATCTCCTCTCCATGAACACTTGTGCCCTGGTACCAACACAGGGTACAATTAAATCTCCCTTTACGGGGAGTGAGGACCGGGGTTGGGGACATGTGGACTGCAGGGAAGCCACAGGAACGACTTAGGCCTTTTTTCTTCGTCTTCGGGGACTATGTGGTAGCACCTCTTACCCTCCAAAAAGGGCGTGAAGGGGATCCTGGTACTTTGAGATTGCTGGGGTGTTGGTACACATTCTCTGAGTTGTATTCTGTTATGACTGAAGGTTGGGGATTTTAAGCAGAGTTAACTTATCATTTACTTGATGTATTCCATTCCAGTTTCTAAGGCAGGGCCTTTAGAAAGTCTCTGCTGTTGTGCCTCCTGTTCTTCTAAGACTAGCTAGAAAAACTTTGTAAGACTTGAAATAAATGCATGAAATATGTATGGTCTGTCTGGAAAAACTCAAGCCATTGTTGATATAACGAGAAGTTTGTACGACGTCTATGTAACCTATGGCAGCCAAGGAGCGTGGACAGGAATGCACATGTGTGGGTAATGATGATGACTGCACCGTACTAGTCAGTGGGGGCAGTAGATGCCATTGAGTGAGTATCCATACTGTGTGGCTGTCACATTCAAAATGACTGAGCAACAAATCTGCACCAAGTTTTGCATTAAGCTTGAACATCCCCCCCATGGAAACTATTTGGGTGATTCAGAAGGCTGCAGCTATGGGCAACTGGTGATTGGCAGCTTCCTAACAACAATGTGCCTGCTCATGCATCAAGTCCCGTGCAGAGTTTTTTGCTGAAACATCAAATCACCAAGTTGAATCAGTCCCTGTACAGCCCGGATTTGGTTCCCTGAGACTTCTGGCATTTACCAAAACTAAAATCACCTTCAAAAGGGAAGAGGTTTCAGACCATCAGTGAGATTCAGGAAAATATGACGGGGCAGCTGATGGCGACTGGGAGAACTGTGTGAGGTCCCAAGGTACCTAATTTGAAGGGACCAGAGGCATCATTGTCCTGTGTACAGTGTTTCTTGTATCTTCAGTAAATATCTCTCTTTTTCACATTATATGGCTGTATACCTTCTGGACAGACCTTGCATTTTACAGATTTCACATCCAGCCAGTGGTAGGTACAGTGCCACTACCTTATTCTGAAGGCAGACATAGTGGCACCCAGAAGTTCAATGGTTTTATAATAAACGTGAAAGTATAACAGTGTTACATTTAACTAACACTTCAGCCTCGTTTTTTTTCCATGTTACTTTGCTCTTTTCACATAATAGAAAGTTTGATCTTATAGAGATTTATGGAATCTACTGGAAGATACCATTTTGAGTATTTACAATATCCAAGAAGGCTATAAACTGTATTTTGCAATGGTAGCATGTAAAATGATTTGTGAAAAAGTATCTACATGATAATATTGCTCATTGCCAATAGGATGAGACAAAACTATTACTAAAAATCCCTCCAATGGTAAAAATTGATTTGAAATTCTAGTGCAGTGATACTACACTTTAATACTTCTTAAACACTAACTCATGATAATACAGAGGTTAAACACTGTGTTGAAACAAATGTAAATAACTATACATGGGCAAGTAAGCACTCTAAATCATGCATTTTGAGAGATGGTAGGATTGAACTTTGAGAAGAGCATATTGACAAATACAGTGTTGCAAAGATGCTTCAAAAATAGTTATTACCTAGGTGTCAAGCAACAGCCTTCTCTCCCAGGAACGGTAGGCTGTGTGCTCACATTTTTAGGATATTCATCCTTTCATAATGGGAACTAAAAATATGCTAAATACAGAAATACCTTCTTCCCTGAGGGGCCGTAGAAAAAAAAGTGTAGCTACATGATCAGAAATAAAAATCAGGCACCATAACTTTTAAAAATGTAAAGTAAGGGAAAAGCTTGTCTTATTACCAGCAAAAAAGCTGCCGACATCTAAGCAACCGCCAGTTACGACCTTTGAGGCTACCACCCTGGCAGAGCGGTCAGCTAGAAAGAAGCGTTTCACCATTCAGAAACCACTATGCACTCGAAAAGCAGGGAGTTGGGTAAACGCATCTTTTCTTTATTGGAAAAACTATACTCTAAAACTTAAGAATTGAAAATCCATCAATGAACCTCATTTCCCATCATTTGCGTCCTTTTCCTGCTTTGGTTTATCTCGCTTTCCGCCCATTTTCTCTTGCTTCCCACACTGCTCAGCCTCTCTATTGCTACAGAAAAGCACAGCCCAGCAGGAAAAAGGCACATTCAGGGGCCATGCCTCCCTTCTTCAAAGGGTTGAAAAGTTGCCTTCCACCGCTGTAGATATGTATATGTACCTCCGTATGTATGGATCTGTAAACCTACACACTTTGTCGTGATGCACCTAATTAGACTCCACGAGTCCAGATGATTGGGCAAGTCTTCTTCAATATCAGTTGTAGTGTGCCACAGTATTTTAAGTAGCTTTATGTATAATTTCTTGGTGGTGGTGGTTGTGGTAAAATAAATACAAAATGTATCACTTTAACCATTTTATTCAATGTAATTCAACAACATTAAGTGCATTCACAATGTTATACAACAATCAATAAGACCTCGTTCCAGAATATTTTCGTCACCACAAACCCATGAAGTCCTCCCTTCTCATCCTCCTCCACTGAAGCTTCTGGCAACCACTCATCTGCTTTCTAGCTCTATGGATTTCCTTACTTGGCCATTTCATACAAATGTAATCCTACCATATGAAGCCTTTTTGTCTGGCTCCTTTCACTGAGCACAGTGTTTTCCAGGCTCACATGTGCTGTGACATCTATCAGCAAGGTACTTCACGTCTCCCCTCATCAGCCGATGGTCATCTGAGTTGTCCCACCTGCTGGTGGTGATGAATGGCACTGCTATGTACATTTAAGCGTATGTTTTGTTTGACCACCTGTGTTTGGTTCTTTGGGATATATTTACCTAGGAGTGGAATTGCTGGGTCATATGGTAATTACATGTTTAATTCATTGAGACAGGAAAAACAATGAAACTGTCTTCAAAGCAGTTTATTCATTTGATATTCCCACAAACAGTTTGTCTAAGAGTTCCTTTTCCCCCGACATCCTGGTCAACACTTGTTATTTTCCTTTTTAAATTATGGCCCTTCTGGGGGCATGAAGCCCTTCTGGGGGTACCTCAGAGAGATTTTGATGATCATTTCCCTAATAACTAACGACGCTGAACACCTTTTCATGTGATGGCCATTTGTGTATCTTTGCTGTAGTCTCTACTCAAGTCCTGTGCCCACTGTATTCGTCTTCCAGTCTACTATAACAAAGCACCACAGATAGGATGACATGCGACAGAAATATACAGTCACAATGTTTTGGAGGCTAGAAGTCCAAAATCAAGGTGCTGGCAGGGCCATGCCCCCTCTGAAATCTTCATGGGAATCCTTCCTTGCCTTTTCCTAGATGCTGGTGTTTTTCTGGCAGTCTTTGGTGTTCCATAGCCTGCATTATAGATACATCATGCCAATCCTCTCTTCAGATGGGCTCTTCCCTGTCTGTCCCGTGTGGCTATATTTGTATAAGGGACACAGGTCATATGGGATTTGGGCCTACCTCATTCCAGCATGACCTCATCTGAACTAATCACACTGGCAACAACTCTATTTCCAAATAAGCCATCCTGAGGTGCTGGTATCAGGACTTTAACATACCTTCTTGGGGGGTGGGGGGTGGTGGGAATACAATTCCAGCCATTACAATCATTTTTAAATCAAGACTTTGTCTTTTTGTGGATGATTTGTACAACTGGTTCTATTCTGGACATTAGGTCCTTGTCATGTTTGATTGACAAGTATCTTCTCTATGGGATGTCGTTCCTCTCTTGATAACGTCCTTTGATGTACAAGTTTTTAATCCCAATGAAGTCAAATTTATTTTCTTTTGCTGCTTATGTTTCTGGTGTCATATCTAAGAAACAATTACAAAATCCAAGGTCATGAAGAATTATGCATGTTTTCTTCCATTAATCTATGTATTTATCCTTATGCCAGTACTTATATTGGATACCTTGTAGTTGTTAGTACCAATGTTTCTTCACTGTAGAACTGTAGCAAGTTTTAAAATTAGGATGTGTGAGCCTTCCAAATTTGGTCCTCTTTTTCAATATTCTCACTCTTCAGGGCCCCTTCCTATTCCATCCTCCTCTCTCCTGGTTTGCAAGATTTCTGCTGAGAAATCTACTTATCGCCTTATGGAGTTCCCTGTATGAGTTTCATTTGCTGCCTTCAAAAATGTCTCAATTTTTGAGTTTTGTAATATTGTATCTGAATAAAGACCTCTTCAGGTTGAATCTGAGGAGTTAAAAGCTTCATGAACTTAGATATCCAAATTGCTTCTAAATTTGGGAAATTTTCAGTAATTATTTCTTTAAATGAGCTTTCTGCCTCTATTTCTCCTTCTGAAATGTCCATAATTTGTTTTCCTTGATAGTTCCATAATCCACAGACTTTCTTCATGTTTTTTTTTAATGACTACATAATTTGAGAAGATTCATCTTTGAGTTCAGATTCTTCTTCATCTAGTCTGTTGTGGACACTCTCTACTCCACTTTTATTCATCCATTCATTGTATTCTTCTACTCCACAGTTTAGGTTTAGTTCTTTATTTCTCTCTGTTGAACTTCTTATCTGTCCATGTATTGTTTTCCTGACTTCACTGAGTTGCCTATTTCTGTTCTTTTGTACCTCTTTGAATTTCCTTAAAGCAATTATTTTGATTCTTTGTCAGGCAATTTAAAATCCATTAGAAAGTAGTTTTCTTTCACATCATGTTTCCTGCTATTTTGTATCCCATGGAGTCTTGTTGCCGTTTTGCGTCTGAAGCTATGTTTACATCCTCTATTGAGTGGCTTGGAGAAATACTTTAACTCAGCCCTGTTGAGGGTTCTTAGGCTATCGCACTTTTTCTGTGAATGCACCTGCTCCACACTTATCCCTCCCTCTTGAGGGTGGTATTGAGATTTTTCACCTTCTCTCAGTCCAGCAAAGCCAGGCTGTCTGCTGGGAGCCCTACATTCGCTTTCCCTAGGGCCATGCCCTGGAATGCACATGATCGTGTGCTTCCTTCCAATGCTGTAGTCAGGCCAGCTCCGTCCCCAGCTCACCAGCTCTCTAAAAAGAGGCAGCTGGCCGGTGGGTGTCACATGAGCGGGGCATGCGGTGCGTTGGCGGTTGCATGCAGTACAGCTGGGAAAACTGGTGAGGCGTCCCAGCAGCGGATGAGCAGGCCTGCTCGCGGAGTCTGTGGCTTCGTTAGTGAGATCTGTGTCTTTCTGACTCCTAAGTTCTATCCACTCAGCTTTCGGCCTCTCCCCACCCCTTAGCCTCACAGACCCCTTCAGTGTTTTGGGTGAGGCAAGAAAAATGGGGCTTCTTTGGCAGTGTCCTGTACGGTTTTGGAAGCCGGACACTCACTTGTTACTTCACTCTCACCTTCCCCTCTGGGAGAAAATGTGGGACTAGGGTGTTCCTCACGGCCATGAACTATGCTGCACAGTGAGGGAGGTGACAAAGGCAAAGTGACACTGTTCTTCTTACCCTCTTCAATGCATTCAGTTTTGAATTTTAGTTTCTAATGTTCTGGAAGCTTTTTCCTGTTGGGGAGTGACGGTAGAAACGCCTATTCCACCATCTCGTTGGCGTCATCCTCTTTATTTCTCCACGTGGCTCTGAGTTCTTGTCTAGGGCCCTTTCATTTCGGCCTGAGTAACTTTCTTAGCATCTATTGTAGGCAGGTTTACTAGCAACTATGTCCTTATGCTTTCGTTTGGGAGGGTCTTAATCAATCCTCCATATTTTACGGATGGTCTTGCCAGATACAGGATTCTTGGCTGACAGTTACTCGGCACTTTAAAATAGCCTCCCTGCATAATGAAGTCAGATACTGATGGCACTGAGGACTCGTTTACGTGTCAAATGACTTCTCTCTGGCTGCTTTAAAGTCCTTATCTTTCACCAGTTCCATTATAATTTGCCTCCGTGTAGAGATCTTCCACGTTATACTACCTGGAGTTTGTGAGCTTCTTGCACATTAGATTCATGTCTTTTTTCAAATACTCAGACATTATTTCTCCAAACATTCTTCCTGTCCTTGTCTCTCTCTCCTTCACTCTGGGAATCCCATTGCTGCATGTTAGTGCGCTTATGGCATACGACTGGTCTCTGAGGCTCTCTGCTCATTCTTCATTTTCTGTTCTCTCCTCAGACCACACCAGCCCAATCGACCTCGCTTCACGTTCTCTGATTCATTCTTTTGCCTCTTCTGCTCTTGAGTACCTTTAGTGAAATTTTCATTTCTATGGTACTGTTCAACTTCAGAATTTGTATGTGACTCCTTTATAATTCCTATTTCTTTATTAACACCCTGTATTTGGCGAGAATTGTCTGTTTCCTTTAGTTCTTTGTCTATGGTTTCCTTCAGCTCCTTGAGTATATTAAATATGGTCAAGCTGTTTATTAAGTCCACTGTCTATGCTTCCTCAAGAAGAGTTTCTGTTCATTTCTCTTTCCTGTGAATGGGTGACATTTTGTTTCTTTGAATCCCTCTTTGTATATTGCTCCTTTTTATTTAAACTGGCCATTCTGAATATTGTGGCAACTTTGGAAATTGAATTCTCCTCTCTCCAGAGTTAGTTTTTGTTGCTTGTTATGGGTTGTGGTCATTTAGTGACTCTTCGACTCCTTGTGAAAACTGTATTATTTGTCATGTGTAATCTATAAAGTCCCCACAGCATTAGTTTAGTGGGCACCCAGTGGTTTGACAGAACTTTCCTTAAATGCCTGGATACAAAAAGAACAATAAAACGAAAGAAAACACTCTCCCGGTCTTCACCGACTGGCTCAGTGTGGAGCACTCCTTCAACACTTGTCCACGGCGTTTACACCATCGCCCCAGCCTTCACTTCCTGTGTGCGCTGCGTGTAAAGGTCAGCAAGGCGGTAAAAGCTGAGGGTCTTCTCAGGTCTTTCTGAGCGTGCACCTTGCCCTGGGTGTGGGCATGTCCTTCTAGATTCCTTAGAACACGTGGGAGCTTTCCAAAGCCCTTACGCCCCAAAGCATTTCACTCCACAGCTTTCCTCCCAGGTCTCAGTCTCCTGTTTGTCCCGACTTCTACCTTCTGCCCTGGGCAGCAGCGTGCCCCTTCATTTACCTTTCGGTGTTTTAGAGAAACACCCCTCTGCACAGCCACTTTCCCATCCTCCTGAGTCAGGTGAGACAAAGGCAGGCCCCGCACATCAGTCCCACTGGGCATCTCCAGGCAGGTCAGGACAGACAGGATTCCAGGGGCGCGAGGTCATCCCGCTCCCTCTGGACCACACACCCACATCAGGGATACAGACTGCCAGTTTCCAAAGCCTCTGCTGCCCGGGGGCAGGGGATGGAAAAGGAGTTAGATAAAATGCCATTAGGCTGCACTACTGGGTGTCAGTCACCTTCTGTGGCTGAAGCATTCACCTGGTCGCTGTAAACTTTGAATTATTTTCCACACTTTCAACAATTTATTCTGACAGTTTTGGCTAGGATTTTTTCCCTCCTAGTATTTGTATGGTGGGAGTCCCTATAGTTCCTCACTCTACCATTTTCATGGACATATATGCATAATTTACATATACCAACATTTAGGTGAATATGACATTTTTCCTATTATAGTCTGAAGTGTGTGATGCTTTATTAAAACTGTATAAATACTTAGAACTCTCTAGTTACATAAACATCCGTATATATTTCAGGCATTTAAAGATTAATAAAAGGAGTATACAAAATTCCTATGTTAGATGCTCATGAATTAAATAAGATACTTTAGGGGCTGATATGCACACACTAGTATCCTCTGAGTGTGATTAGCTACTATGTTACCCTTTTCTTACTATTAGAAAAAAATTCTATAAGCTATATTATTGGTCTGACCAAGTACAGCTTCTTGTTGGAGAATGAAAAACACTGTTTTCACATTTTAAATTTAATGAGCTCTGTGGACTGGGAGGAACATTAAGTCTCAAAGAACTCATTCGAATGCTTTGTCTCTAGATACTCTAGCTAATGTGTTCACCCCTATCACGAGTCCTTCTTAAAACAATGTTTAATGTCCCCGATCGCAAACAGTATGTCATGCCTTAATCAGAATATCTACTCCCTTCATGCAGCTTAGGATGGTTCCCATAATAGCAAGAAATACTCGTCAATCTCTATGGTGACAAAATCTAATCTCTCCAAATCACCACCCTGGCTCACAAGGGGCATTACTTTACACGCAGAAGAAAATTACGGTAAACATACGACACTGCTGGCTTGCTCACGTGAACACCCAACGCGAGGACAGTGTGCTGCGCAAAACACAACCCGTTACTGATCAGATGTTGGTGTAAAACGAAACTCCTTTTGATGGGAGTTTACATTAGGACTTTCCTCTCCAACTTAGTAGAAAAGTAAATATTTTAAACATATAATCAGTTTTTAAGGGAGTCTTGAATATAGTGAATCTGATTGAAAAGTGACTTTGGAGAGGATATGACATCACATATAAATTAATTTTTCAATTTAAACTGGCAAAAGTGAAGATGTCATACATACATCACGAGATTTTGCACATTACATTCTGAAACTGACTGACTACATACAGATAAGCCCACAATTTTTTCTGGAGTTTTGCCCACAGAACTTACCAATAACTAATCTGGAGGCAGTTCATTTCCCTCTGGAATCACTTCCCTAATGTAACTACTATTGCCTATAAAGAGTCAATAGCTTTTTAAACTATAGAATTCTGAAAACATTGTTTTGATAGTGGCAGATATTTAATGTTCAGAGGAAATTATATCATTTAGGCTAGAAACGTCTTCCTAATATGGAATAGGGAAGTTCCTTTTCCCTGGGTCATGGTATCTGAGGACTGACTCTGCTCATGATCATACACTAGTAAGCTTTATAGGGAGAGTAAATGTGTGTTAATATCACTTAGTCAATTGCATACTAACTGGAAGATACAACTTTGAGCTTTAAGAGGACAAACACAAGTGATTATAATTGATAAATATATGCTTAATCATTTGTAGGATTTGGCCCCAAACTCCAATGGCAATGTCTGTTCTGAATGAACTTTAGGGCATGGGGAAAGACTCCATGGATTAAGATTTATGGGTCAAATGCTACCTAGGCGACAGGCATTAAACAAATGACTATGATCACTCATTGCTCTTCCATAAATGCCATTCCAATACTAAATATTAATTCTTGAATAGGAACTAGGGAAAATCATGATTTTTAATAACAGGTTTGGAGATAGAGAAGTTTAACATAGTTCCGAATTTTCAGTAGCCTTCCCTGTTGAGTATCATTGTGTTTGGAAAGAGAGGTCCCATCCGCTAGCCCACACGTTTCCCTGGGACGGAGCACCCTCTGCCGGGTGGGCCTTCCCAGTGGCCGCTCCTTACTGAATTCCGCAGGTCAGGGCAAGTGCAGTGGGCGCACACTGGCTGCTCTTTGAGGATACCGCCACCGAAGTTGTTCCTGGTCTAGCATTTGGATCCTAGTGAGAATTAGGTAACAAAGCTTTGGGAGGAAAAACAAAAAGCTTACTGAGCTGACTGTTTCTTGTTCCTTCTTTGGGTAGCACCACAGGAATGAAAATTAGGGTTTGAGAGCGTAAAGGCCTAGCTACGAGCTCTGTTTTTTAATTCTTTTTGGCGATCAGCTTGTAAATACTTGTATGTCAGACAAAATTTACATTTCCTGTCTAATTTACAGAACTGTTGAGAAGAAGAAAACATATGTGAAGGTGCTTTATAAACAGAAACAGGATGTGCCAACATCATAATGGTCACTCCCACATTTGGTGCTCAAAAAGGCTTCGCTGAGTCACTCGCTCGTATTAGGAATGGCAAGCTGCTTCCGTACAACACCGGGAGAAAATGGCCTTGGCGAGCTAGTTTGGGGGGTGACAAGCCTGGGTTCCTGGGTGGCACTTCCAAAGCTGGAGAGGAATTGACTCCCAGGACCGGGGCACGGCTTCCACTGCCTGATGCCTCTGAAGCACATTGACGAGTCACGTTTGCTTTAGCTTTATAAACTGGGAAGAATCTCCCTTTCCCTGGGGAGGCATCCAAGTCGCAGGTGCTATTTATCCAGCATCCTGTCCTATACACCTTTATGGAGTTACTATTTATAAGAACAAAACACTACATGACCATACACACCCTTTACATTGAAACCGCAATAAATACAATTTCTGAGAACATGACATAGTTTCATGCATATACACTACCTCTGTACAGCCCTAGGAATTTAACATACATTTCTTAGTTTTCCCTTACTAACACTGTGGTTTTCTTTACTAGTAAGTGAACAGTTCTAAAGCAGAAATTGATACACTGTCATTTATTTCAGTCCTACAGCACACACTGAATATGATACGCTTGAAAACACATTGTTGCCTTTGTTCTTTCCAGTGATAACATTAAATTTCACCATCCATTTCTATAAATTAAATTACTAGGAAATCTCACATTTAAAAAATTATACAAGAATAAGCTAGAATATCACAATCTACATGGGAATGAACTGAAGAATTCATAGTATGTCACGGACACTTTATCTTCATGGTAAACTTTCACTGCATGGAAATCCCATTGGCTTCATTTAATTAAAAAGCTGAAAAAAAGAATTATATAGGTGCAAGTGAGAAAAACACAATATGCTGGTTTTTTCCATTCTAAATTAGTACCAATATAACAAAAAAATGTCATAATTAAATTCATCTCATTCTAATATTCATGTCCAGGTAATTTTTCTGAGCTGGTTCCTGTGATGGGGTTAGGCTTGGGTTGAGTACAGGCCAGGGTGGGCAAAGATGCTGCTAAGAACCTGAACCTGTGGCGGCGGAGTCTGGGTAAGGCACCCTCGTGCGCGGCTCTCCTGGCCGGCCGGACCGAGGGCTAGACCGGCACTTGTGCTGTCAGCGGGGCAGAAACCACGGGAGGGCATTACAATAAACACCGTAAAGCGGGTAACTGCTATGTCCTAAAGAAAATATTTTTCTCATTCAATTTATAATTCAGTTATTTAATATAACCACTTGATCGTTTGTATTAAATTAATAATTTCATTATATTGAAAAACCACAAAGTATGTATAAAAGTCATAATAAAAGTTTCACCAGATTCTGATGAAACAACACACACAGATACTTGTACATACAGAAATAAAAGTAAAAGAACTATTTTTCTTTTTGAACTTCCCCAAGCAAAGCTTTAATACAGAACAGAGAGGTTTTGTTCTGTATCTGTACCTTTCCACCAACACACGGCAATTTAAGTCTTGACAACGTAACTTTGTAGGACAATCAAGAGACAAACCAACTTTCAACTAAATATTAAAACAAAAATGAAAGTAATGGTTAACAGAGTTGGAACGCTACGTAGTTAGTGAATGTAGTATTGGGGTGTTTAAGTGAGAACATCCCAGGCATGAACTGCTTGGTCTTTCCGAACCTCGGCTTCCGCAGTAGTGAGAGAATGCTTGGTTCAGGAGATCTCCCAAGCTCTTCCCAGGGCTACTGTTTACCATCTTGGTGGTACTGTGTGCTAATGGTAAATATGTACTCTAAAATAACGTTATTATAAAATGTGATACATATTTGTTATATATTCAAAATATGCAATGCAACAAAGTATGCAATGCAAACTGAAACAACCGTGTACCTGTGTCTGAGGAGGAATCATTAAAAGACAGAAGTCACGCGCTGAGATGCAGAAGCAACAAGACGCTGCTTCAAGGCAGGCCCTGACTGTGGGCGCAGCCATCTCCACGCCAAGACCAGCAGTGAGTGAACTTCACCAAGAGCATCAAGCTCCAGTTGCTGTTCAATCCCCAAATCCCCAGCAACACTGGCAGCACAGCAGCTAGATCCGGGACGTGTAAAGGAACTTTTTTCTGTCTTTTCAGTAATAAGCTGGCCCAGAAGATAAAGCTAACTGAAGAATAAGGGATCATGAAAAAAGAAAACTTGATCATAAAATATTTTAAACTGTAACTAAAATAGGAAAAACTATAACTTAAAGAAACGGAGAATTTGTGATTTTTTTTTTAAAGCCTGGTCTGATCATTTCAAAGCAATGGAGCAATAAAGATCACCTTTTATCATTGCTAAAAATATTACCAAGATAAAAGCAAAAATAGTAATATGACCCTTCATGATTTTATACTTCCTAACTTTTTTGGGTGCTGGAAAGGTTAAAAAGGTTCTATGAGTTTTAGATGTTGCTACATTTAGAAAGTAAAAGGATCTTTGTAATTTCTTATTGAAATAGCCTGAACTGCTTAGCTGCCATGTTCATGCTAGGGGTCTTTCCAAACTGAAATACTTAATTATTTTTTATAAAGCGGTTACAAAATCTTTTGTTTACATTTTATTATGAAAAAACCAAATATGTACTTAGTCTTGAACTCACCCTTTTATTAATCATCCTATAATAAAATGATAAATCCAACAGAGCACTTCTTACTCTTCCATTTAAAATAATCTTTTCTCATAAACAGAGGTATGAAAACTTCTCAACAAGTGTTTGTTCAAGACATTGGGAAGACTTGACTCACAAAAATGTCTAAAATGCTTTGTTCGTTAAGATGTTGTTTAGCAGAGTGTGAAACACTATTCTCTAGGCAATGATTCAGTAGCTCCTGCTTGACGTCCGTCTCCATTACAGCAATATTAAATGTCCAACGGGCACTCCATTACGAACGTTTTATCCTGACTCCATCACTCAGGAGAACAGTCTCTTGTTTCTATCAGGGTCTGACACACATTTTTTCATCTTTGCACATTTACTTGTCTAGTAGTTTTGATGTATAATCTAACAGGTCTCATAGATTTACGCTGCTAACAGTGTTCAGGTACTGTCTTTCTTAACAACATAACACAAATCATAAAACACAACACAATGCTTTGCTTTCATACTTAAAAACTGTCAAGAACACTGAAAACTGACTACATTCCTCTTATCTGGAAAGCGCTCTTTAGCAGTGCAGTCTGTTTCATCAGAGAGACGCTACCTTGGGTGCCGCTGCCACCTTCGGTCTGGACTCCTGCCCACCCTGTCAAGACCTCATTATCAGCTTCGGTCTGGACTCCTCCCCACCCGCTGTCACGATCTCATTACAGTTCAGGACAGAGAGCGATGCGCAACACTGACTGATGACTGGCGTATTCTGAAGTGAGTAGGGGCACGGTCAAGTTGGACTTGGGCAGCAATGCAAGATGGAAGCTACTTGGCAGGGGCAGTGAATTGAACACGGGGAGATCAAACAGCAGTCCAAAGCCAGCCAAAGGTGCTCAGAAACTCCCCCTTCTGGCCTAAAAGGGCTGCAATGATCCCCTTCTAGTTTGCAGAGCTTCCTAATTGCTCCCAGTACATCTGGAAGGCAGAGGGGCACTGTGTATACAAAGAAGGAATGGAACGGGGTCTCCAAACGCTGCTTTTTTTAAGTCCGGCTCTCTCCTAATTCCACCCCACAAGAGCAAACATTCAGGATTTAGATAAAAGTGTCACCCTTGATTTGCTGAGGAGTGCTATTCTGGAAGTTCATTAGCAAGGTTATTATTTTAAATTCAAAGTAAGTTCTTCTAGAGAACATAATTTAAGCGATAGTTCTTTTCTCAAATTCAGATCTAAAACAGTTCATTTCGATCAGTATCCAACAGAGCCTTACTGGGCATCGACCTGTACCAGAGCACTGTGCACAGAAGGGTGTTGCAGAAAATGGAATGAATGAAACTCATGGCCCATAATGCCTCTGTGCCAGAGGGGAGAAAGGCGTGGACACGATTCACAGTAACATAGTGACATACGTGACATGATGGCAGGTCAAAGCGTCACAGGGGTTCAGACGCAAGCAGACAAAGCACAAGTTGGACACTGAGAAAAAGTAAAACGCAGACAGCAGCCTCAGCCGAAGGGGCTGAGTGAAGGGAGGCACCAAGGTATGGGACGCATTGGGCGGTCCCTGTGGCTAACCAGCAGCCAGCCGCACCGTCCGTGAGAGGCCAGGGACTAACCGTTTTAAACTCTGAGCTACATGTCTGTCAAAACTACTTCACTTACCTGGTTTTTGCGTGAAAGTAGCCAACAGACAATACACAAGCGAATCTGGCTGGGCACCAATAAAACTTAGCTCATGGACACTGAATTTTATATAATTTTAACGTGTCACAAAATACTTTTTTCCAGCAATTTAAAATGGTCAGAACCGTTCTCGGTTTACGTGGCACTCAAGCATGGGCAGCAGGCGGGTCAGCCCACGCGGCTGTGGCTGACCCCGTGGGAAGCCGGGGGCGCCCTGAAGGTGCGCCGTGAGAAGAGACAGAAGAGGCAGACGGAACCAAAGTTAGACAAAAAGTAAGGGGACTTATACAAAGTATTACTACACAGCTAGTAAAATCATATCTCAGAATAGTTGACCCTGAAATACGCTCATGTCATGTGAAAGAAAAACCAGCTTATACAACATGTATGGTATAATCCTTTCCTAGTTTCCAAATATACACGGGCCTGACTGCTGACACCGATACTCTGGGTGTTGGGATTACGAAAATTTGATTTTCTTCATCTCACTTATCTGTATCTTCTGCAAGGGACATGTATTAACTTTCCCTCTGCTTTATCGTTGGCCTTAGCAGACTGTGATGAAGAAACAACACCGTCTGTGCGGGGGGGAAATGATTGTGTGTCACTCTAGGATAAGGGATGGCTCAAGGAGGGTGCTGGCTACCCGTCAGGGAGCTGAGTTAGGAGGCCGGGCAGCGTCTGAACGACACTGTGCACAGCAGTTACCGTGGCAGCACTAGGGGCAGAGAGTGGTGGAGGCCAAGGTGACTCCAGGGTTTCTGAGTTGTGGGGATAACGGCGTCTCAGGGAAAGCGGGGAGAAGAGGAGAAACAAGTGTGGAAGCGGAGATGAGGTGGGTTTGCACAAGGTACAGGGTCAGAACCTGACGAGTATACTGGACTGAGAATAATCTAAAAGGAAAGAGGCAGGAGAGTGTTGTGTTGCCAGGTCCACGGTGTCCATTTCAGAGCAGCTGGTGAACTCTAACGTGGAAAAGGTTATGTGGGTTGCAGAACGGAGAGAGACCTCTGTGTTTGCTTACCGAGAGGTCACTGGAGACCCGTATTACGTGAAAAATCATTTCCTTTTCTCTTTCTGTAAAATATCTGAAAAGCTACCAAACAGTGGTCTGTGTTTTACTTTTATTTATTTATTTTTAAATATTTTATTTATTTATTTTTAGAGAGGGATGGGAGGGAGAAAGAGAGGAAGAGAAACATCAGTGTGTGGTTGCCTCTCACATGCCCCCTACTGGGGCCATGGCCTGCAACCCGGGCATGTGCCCTGACTGGGAATCAAACCTGCAATGCTTTGGTTCGCAGCCCGCGCTCAATCCACTGAGCTACGCCAGCCAGGTTACTTTTATTTTTACTTATCTAGAATTACTCTTTCTGTTCTTGCTGTGCTACACACCAGGATGGGCACAGTGCTCTCGAATGAATGAATACTATCCGACTGGGAGTTGGGTAAGTTCTCTACTGACATGCTCGGCTGGACAGAACTCTCCTGTGAGCAATTTTAACTTCCTGTGGTGGTGGCGGTGACGTTACGGCACTCTGTCACATGGAAATCATTCATGCGGTCCAGGGGCGGCTGCTTGGACTTTATTTTGGTATCCAAAAAAAGTGCAGAGGGAAGGAAAAACTTGGCTGCTTTATACAGCACGGATAAGCTGCTAGCTAATTTTCACTCCTGTCTCATTGCTCCGTAGTTAGTGGAACTCAATAGTTCACTGTCCTCGGGACTGGTCAACTTGCACTCCATGTTCAAAACTGGTCTAAGGGGTGCAAGGCTGATAGCCAGAGCTCTTTAGCCAAAAGCCTAAAGAGGCTCTCTTCTTTGTAATAGGCTACCAAAGCCAGAGAAGACTTCAGGTCAAAAAAGAAAAGGATCTAAAAAAGAAAGGCCAAAAGAAATTCAGGGCTTTCTTAGGAATAGGGAGAGCTCTTTAGCAATCAAAACCTTTTTGTTACCTATAGTGGCACAGAGTAGCCGATGTCAAGTCTACCAACTGCCAAGGCCCCTTCTGTACACAGACTACACAGAGGGGACACAGAGAGCTTTGATGACGTGATGATTAACAAGCAGGCATGGTCAGAAATGGGGATGCCACGTCTGGGGGAGAAAGAACAGTGCAGCCAGCAGGTGTGGGCTAAGGTGGAGAGACAGATGAAGACAAGAACTCTTGGAGCCTCCCTGCTTTCTGTGGGCTGCTCTGTGGCGACTTTCTGCCCGAGTAAGGAAGGTGTATTTGCACGGGGGACACGGCCCTTCAGAGCTCACCTGGACGTACGTGCCTGCTCAGACCATGTGTTCTGAGGTCTGAGAGGTTGAAATGTGCAGTGCAAAAATCAAGCAAAACACTGGACCCTGAATTTTCTATAAAAATTACTTTGGCTTTATTTCTGAAATTATCAAATAGTTATTTAAAATGTTAGTACACATTCAGAAAACTTGTATTTTGTTGTATTATCTTGGATGTTGAAGTTTACATTGATTTTCGTGGGAAAAGGAATTTGGCTACAGTTTTCCGAGGCAGAATTGAGTATGTTCCAGTCAATAGTTCTAGTGTGGCTTTCTTCCCTAAACTAAAAAAACAGACGTAACCAAATAGAATTCTATTTTATCTGGAGTGAAGGGCATATGCATGTATACGAATGTTACTGTTTAAAAAATATACTGCTTCTGTCAAATAGCTACTTCCATGTGTACAAGTCTGCAGCTGGGATTTTTATCTGAGGAATTATACCTGTAGCAGGTAAGTACCAAATGCATAAGACTGGAATTCGAGATCTCACAATTGTACGTTATTTTGCATTTGTAAAGCTAATTTGCTGTATGTGACTTGTACTCATGAGATAAAAATGGCCATGTGGAAGATGAGGAAAACTGAGGCTCAAAAGATTAAAAGACTTGCCTGAGGTTACAGTTTTAAAGTGCCACGGTCCAAATCACATTTTCTCACTCAGAGTCCAGATCACTTTCCAAACACCATAATGAAATACAACAATATGGAAAAATGGTCCTTAAGAGTCAATTTCCACATGCACATTATTACCATTACAAGAGTTAGCGTGTATTCTTTACTTAGACACGGCAGGGGAAAGACAGGGGTGCCTTCACAGCGCTCCTGCTTCAAGGCTAAACCTCAGCGTGAGACGGGCAATCCCAGGGGCATCCTCATCCGGGAGGTGCAGTGCAGGCTGATCACCACACTGTCTCTCTGTCCTCTGGAATAAAACTGCACTCTGCCTGGGAACGGACACCGTGTCCTACATCATCTCCTCTTATAATCTATGCGGAACACACCGTAGGTACTCTCTAGACGTGCTTAACTGAGTTTAAAATCTCTGGGCAAATGAGTTAGTTACCTTACCTCAATCCTTAAATACAAATTAACCACTCTGCTCATCCTATCAGTTAAAAGTGAAGATGGTCATGTTAGTATAGTATTACCTGTAAGGATAGCCGTGGTACTTGGAACGAAATATCGACAGTAGAAAACTGAAGAAGAACACCACCAGGCCCAATCCCACGAGGCAAATTACTAGAAAGAGACAGAAAATACTACTGTTAGTATCTAGATACGCGCAACCCAAATAAATGTCCATGCTTTAGAAATGCATCAAGTAAATTACAGTATACTTGCATTTAACAGTTCACGACATAGACAGGCAGGACAAATCAGATAATCCAAAATACAATGTATTGTTTTCCAAATCCCTCTCACTTACCAGTGACATTTAAGACCTTCTGTACTTCCCCACCCTACCTTCTCCTGGAATATTTTCCCCATGTGTTTGCCCTTTTTCCTGCCAAAATTGGTTATCTTACCAAAAAAAGTACTTTTCCTGCAACCACAAGAGGAGTTGTTTCACCAAGGGGTAAAACAATGAACCTGCTCAACATTACGCCGTTTTTAAGAAGGCGGTGCGGTGAGTTGCCGGTCTTGGACTATGGCCGGGAAAGGCAGAGACCCTGGAAAAGGGAGCATCAGGAAGCGCTTCCTTTTAAACCTCGGACATGAGGGAGTCTGAAGGTCATTGGAAAGTGCAGTCTCAGTCACGCCTTGGCACTCGTCAGTTTCAGAACTGGGCAAATCCGACACTCGTCACATTTTGACACACAACATGCTGCATCAATCGTGGCTTGCTTGTCACTCCTTGGAACAAATTACCCAGGAGCTCATGGCTTGTTGGTGACACCGACAGGTACCGAGCCCCGAGGCACTTTCCTTGCAGGGCAGCATGGGACTCATGCAAGTCTAGCAAGTGCCGCGAGTCCCGAGCAAGCGCGCAGTGCTGAACTTTCTTTTCCTCATCAAAATGCCACGAGGACAGGGATTGAGGAGTTCTGAAGCCGACTACTGAGGTATGACTGTATTTCAGTGTACAAACATATGGAACTTCTCCTGAGTCAGTCTTCAGATGCACACCTGATTTTTGTGGCATAGAGGACATAGCTTTTGACAACAAAATCTCTAAGACTCCCCGCAGAATTCTCCTTCTCACCCAGTAGGGTGGATGTTTCTACAGAGACTGGAGCTTCAGGAGAGGTGCGCCCCAGCACCCCTGACAAGGGTGCAGAGCAGCTCTCCTTTATGGGCAGTTCCTCAGAAAATCACCCAGTTCCATTTTGGAAGAAATATACTTTTATTTACTTGCACAGATCTAAGAAATAGAAGAAGGTAATAAACACGGTGACCTTCTTCAAATCAGAACATTTCTTTAGAAGTTTACATTTACAAAGAACTTTTATATTTTCTTTTTGATTTAAATGAATCTTAAGTCTAAAACAAAATTACAAAAACACCAACACAGAGACTTACTCCGTCTTTTTCCAACATCTCCTTTGGATGTTGCTGCTTCGTTTAGAAGAACCATCCCCATGGTGATGGCGGCATCTATAGTAATTGTCAAGGAAATAGCGGAAATGCACGTGAAATCTATTAACTTTTCTGGATCTGAACATAACATATTCTGTTCCAGAATAGCTAAATTAAAATACACACTGAGGTAAATAGTCTATTCTCTTTGTACTGTTTTTATGCTTTGTAGTATAATTTGAAACCTGGAAACGAGATACCTGATTTTGTATTCTTTCCTTAGGATTGCTTTGGCAATACTTGGGACCTTCTGTGGCTCTGTATGGAATTTTGGAATTTTTTTCTGTCTATAAAGAATGTATTTGGTGTATTTTGATGGTATTCACACCAAATCTGTAGATGGCTTTTGGAAGTACAGCATTTTAACACTATTATTTCCTCCAATCCATGAATAAGGGATGTCTTTCCATTTGTTTGTGTTGCCTTCAATTTCTTTCAGCAAACTTGTACAGTTTTCATTGTACGGATCTTTCACTTTCTTGGTTAAATTTATCCCTAAGCTTTTTGTTTTTTGATGCTATTGTGAATGGGGCAATTATCTTTTCTTGTTCTCAGCTATTTTATCAGTAGTGTATAGAAATGCAACTGATTATGTATCCTGCAGCATTGTTGAAATCCTTACTGGTTCCAAGTTTGCTGGTCGAGTCTTTGAGAGTTTCTACATATAAGGTATCGACTGCAAACTGTAACAAATTTTCTTCCTTTCCGATTTGGATGTCTTCTTATTTCTTTGTCTTGCCTAATTGCTTTAGCTAGGACTTCCAGTATTATATTGAATACGAGTGGTGAGAATGGACATCCTTGTCTTTGTTCCTGATATTAGAGGAAAATATTTCAATTTTTCTCCAAGTTTTCTATATTGTTAGCTGTGTGCATTTCTCATATATGGCCTTTACTATGTTAAAGTATATGTTTTGACTGTAGCCAGTCTTCTGAGGGTTTTCATCATGAAAGGATGTTACATTTTTGTCAAACCTTTTTCTGCACCTGCTAATGTAATGTGACTTTATTTCTTTCACTTTATTAATGTTATTTATTACATTTACTGACTTTTGTGGGTTGAAAAATGCTTGCATCTTGGGGATCAATCTTGCTTAGTCATTGTGTGTACTTCTTTTTATGTGTTCTTGAATTTGGTTCACTAATATTTTCTTAAGAATTTCTGGTAGTGTCCCTATATGATTTTGGTAGCAGGGTAATGCTGGCCTCATAGAATGAGTTTGGAAGTATTCATTACTCCTTGGAATTTTGGAAGAATTAGAGGACTGGTATTAATTCTTATTTAAAAGTTGAGTAGAATTTTCTAGTGAAGCTTTCTGATGCTGGGATTTCCTGTGTTGGTAACTTTTTGATTACAGATTCAAGATCTTTGCTCATTATCAGTCTGTTCACATTTTCTATTTCTTCCTGATTCAGTCTCGATAGGTGTGTGTTTCTAGCAATGTATCAATTTCTTCTAGGTTATATAATTTGTTGTCATATAATTGTAAAAGTGTCTTATGATCCTATGTTATTTCTGTAATGTCAGTTGAGTTTTCTTTTTTGTTAATCTAGCTGAAGGTTAGTCAATTTTATTTATGTATTTTTAAGAACTAACTCTCAGGCCTTGAACAGTGTGGCTCAGTTGGTTAGAGCATCATCCCTTAAACTGAAAGGCTGTGTGTTCAATTTCTGGTTGGGGCACATACCTAGGCTGAGGGTTTGGTCCTGGTTGCTGAGTGTACAAGAGGTAACCAACCGATGTTTCTCTCCTGCTCTCTCCCTCCCTTCCACTGTCTCTAAAAATCAGTGAGTACATCCTTGGGTGAGGTTAAAAAAGAAAGGATAGTTGACCTAATTTCAATCATCTTTAATTTGCAAAATTTTTCTAAAGGATGGTTCAATACCAACATTTCTTATTGATTTTCTGTCTGGAGGACCTATCCATTGCTGATGGCGGGGTAGTGAAGTCCCTCACTATTAGAGCACTGCCTGTTTCTCCCAGTACATCATCAGTTAGTATTTGCTTAAGACGTTCAATACACCAATGCTGGGTGTGCATATATTATGACTGTTTTTATCTTCTTGCTGCATTGAAACCTTTCTCACTATATAGCTGCCTTCTTTGTCTCGTTACCATTTTTGGCTTGAAGGCCACCTTGTCTGATCTAAGTATAGTACCCTAGCTTTCTTTTGGTTTCTACTTGCTTGGAATATTCTCTTCCATCTTTTAATTTTGAGCCTATGTTTATCTTTTGAGGGAGAAAGGAGTCTCTTGCAGGCAGCATGTAGTTGGATCCTATGTTTTTATCCATCTGGCTACTCCATGCCTACTGATTATTAAATTAATCCATTTACACTTAGTGTGATAATTGGTATGTAAGGACTGTCTTCTGCCATATTATCTTCTCCTAGTGATTGTTGTATTATCTCCAGTGTTTCTTTTCCCTTTGTTTCTATTTGCTTTTATAAATTTGTGGTTTCCCATGGTGATTTGTTCAGTATTCTTTTTTATTATGTTTCTTATCTATGTTTTTGCTTGTGATTTTTGTGAGGTTTACATACATCATCTCAGATGGAGATGCTGTCAGCAGAAAAAGACCATCTTATCTTCATTCTTCTATAAAAATTCCATCTTTTTACTCCTCCCCTTTCATATTTTTGACATCAGAACATCTTTCCTATTTGTGAATTCCTTAACGATTTGCAGCTTTTATTATTTTAATGCTCTTAACCTTTATACAAGTGGTTAATACACAAATATGTACAGTTTTCTAATTTTAGTCATCAAATATATCTGAATTTTGTGTACTTTCATTTTGTGTGCATGCTTGTCACTAATTAGCATCTTTTCATTTTAGCTTGAAGGACTCTTGCATTTCTTGTAAGGCAGGTCTAGTGGTGGTTAACTCCTTTGGCTTTTGTCTGGGAGAGACTTTATTTCTCCACATCTAAAGCATAACTTTGCTGGATAAAATAGTTTTGGATGACAATTTTTATCCTGCAATAATATGATACGCCATTCTGCTCTCTCGTAGACTATAGAGTTTCTACTGAGAAATCCAATGATTGCCAAATGGGAGTTTCTTTGAAGGTTACTTTATTTTCCCTGGCTGTCTTGATGATTTTTTTTTATTCTTGATTTTTTGACAGTTTCACTGTAACGTGTCTTGGGGAAGGTCTTGATGAATGCAGCATTTCTTTTAGCTTTGTGGACTTGCATGTCTAGCTTCTTCCCCATGTCTGGGATGCAAGCTGAGGTCCTATCCACCTACTTTCTGACACACAGGTGCCTGTACCTCCTGGGGTTCCCACTGTACTGCACAGAGGTGCTTCTGTTTGGTTATGGATGTCTAGCTGGTTGTAAATCAAGGGGAGAGAAAGAAAAGGAATGACTCACACTGCCATGGTAATGAGGCCATTTGTTATCTTTTCATTTCAATGTGGCAAAATTGTTAAGTCTTTTCATTTATGAATTTTGGTTATTGTTTCTCACTGATGAAATTAAGTCATACCTCTAAGTATTAAGAACACTGTCTTCTAATATCACTGAAGTTATGTCATTTTCTACTCATAACACTAGCTTTCCATGTCATTTACAGTAAAAACGAAAGACCTCGAAATGGCCTCAAGGCCATACATGATTTGCATCTGGATCCACTGCCTATCCTTGTAGACCCTGCTTGCTCTTATTCTTGCCCTTGCCCTCTTCCAACACGACAGCCCCTGGGCCTTGCAACCTTGCACTTGCTGTTCCTCTGCTTGATGCGCTCTTCCCCCCGCGAAGAGTGTAAGAGATGTGACTATATGGTGAATAAACTGTAATTTTTCTGAGACTTGTTCTGTTGTTCTAAGGTTGTTAATGCCTACCCCGCCCCCACAAATCCCCTGGTCTAGTTTGTGTATAATTTTGCACATTTGTATTAACATCATAGCAATACATATTTCAACTACTGTGCAGACTCCCCAGTTTCCCTGCTGATCCTGCCATCATCTTACTGCTTAAAAAGTAAAAATACTGACGTGATCCCACATACGATAGAAGCTGTTATTTGTGTAAATTATATACAATAATACCCTGAGGCATTGGGCATTCTACTGAACTAATAACAAACCCATTTGTATTATGTTATAATTCATTCTCAATTGCACATGATGTTAAGTTCACTGTTGCTCCTAGGAAGAGAATCACAATTGTCAATTTAAAGATAAATGAGAACAGATGTTGAAAAATGTATTAGCCGCATTATAGAAGACTTAAAAGGATCTAAATCTAAAGTTATCTTCAATTTGCATCTATCATTAATTTTCTGTCGTCTTCCTTGGATATAACACATTAAAAGAAACATTTTTCTCTATCATAGATTGAAAACAAATGCAGAATAAAACACTTTCATAGTATACCTTATACCACTTCCATAATATATATACATATACCAAAATGGTGTATATACCAAAACACTTTCATAATAATATACAATATTTGCTGTTTACAATGCATACCCATATTTTTGTCCTAAACTTTCAGGAAAAAACCTTTTGCTTTAATTTTTTAATTCAATTTTTATTTATTTGTACTTAGATATTTGTTTTTTTGTGTTCTAAAGGAATTTTTGCATTTATTTTTGAACATATTATGGTACAAGAAATTCAAAACACAAGAACAAATACAAGGTGTTTCAGGCACTACCCATGTATAATGTGCATCGTCATCTTTCCCACAAAAATTTGGGCAAAAAGTGTGCATTATACACAGCAAAATACAATAGTTTTCTCTCGTAGACTACTTAGGATTGTTCCCTCTCCCCAAATAAGATACTGAGAAAACAAAACACTACTAATAGGGAGAAAAATCACGTTCTTAGTAAATATAAAGCTATAACCTATGACATCAAACAGCTCCATCTGTGCTTCCTTAGGTTTTTCCCAACAAAACTTTGTACACAGCAATTGCATCTAATCATCTGGCTTGCTAAATTTGGAGGAAAAAAACAAGGCAGAAATGGTCTCCCATAGATAAACAAAAAGTAACCATCTGGAATTTCCATTTTTTTTTTGCATAAGGAAAAATATATACATAAATTCCAAAAAAATACAGTGAGTTAAAAAAATAGATTCTGCCAAAGAAAATTAGACATTATTATATAATGGCTTCTTTTTAACTTTTATCCATAAATTTAGTAAATCTACCATTTTAAAAGATTTTCTTTTCCATAAATATCTATAAAATAAAACAACAGGAAATAAAGCAAAAATAATTACTGGTAATATAAAGAGAATAGGGACTTTAATTATTTTATGTATTACTGTCAAAGCCCTATATGGAAGATTTCATACTGTTTATGAAATTTCTTTGCATCCTAAATCTCAGCTTCATGTCAGTGAGCCATGAAATGAAACCCTGGAGAATTCCTGCTTTCGTTCCTTTCACTAGGTTCCCCTGATGTGTTCAGTGGACTAGCTGCTTTGAGTAACACATGCTGCTAAAATGCTATGTCATAGATTGAAACAGGATAGAAAATGGAAAAAAATATGAACAAATAAGAGCTAAAGAGTTACCTGCAATAAATACTTTGTTTCTTACTATGGTACTTTGACACAAATGTATTTTGCTTCATAAATACCTTTATGTAATTAAAAGATAAAGTAAGAATAAATATGACCTTGCCATATTTTTTAATGGAGATGTTCTTATAAAGATATCTCCAAATATTTCATTTTCTCACCTAAAGCCCCTCTGATATGCAGAAAATATTAATCTCTTACCATATTTAAGTTGGAGCACAGAAACCTTGCACTTACTGATGATAATCACAACATTTGAGAATGTTTACGCAACATTTGAGGTGTTTCCAAATCCAATCTACGAGCCAAAGTAAAACAAGAACTAATATTCATCGTAATAGCTTCTTAATTTTGAAGCCATAAGGATATGGATCATTTAAGGCAAGCAAGAAATGGACCACAGATACGTATAGTTCCATATATGCAATGAGTTTGTGTGGTCGAGTGTGGAAGGAACAAAAATGTTGAGGACTGGGAGGGGAAAACTCAGTGTTGCTCACTGGGTTTCAGAGACACTGCAATTAAAATGGAGTCTCATAATCTCTCTTCTGAAGCTTCATGTCCAAGGTCAAAACTTCACACAATCACACAAACATTAGTGTTCTTCCAAAACAGTTTTTCGTACAAAAAGTAACTTCATTCTAAGAATATTCAGAGTTTGTTTTTAATTAGACACTTGAACCTTACCTCCTTCCTAACCTGCTATCTTCCTCTTGGCCTGTCTACCTCCAATCCGTAAATTGTAGTGTACTAACTCATTCAAAACAGTTGGTATGTTCCAAAAAGAGATTTCCAGCTACCCTACACTCTTCTGACTGATCAAAGTATTTAAGGGAACCAGCACTAAAATAGTGTTTTCCGTCTTGATTTTTGTATCATAGGACACTATCTTCTCCTCATTAAGATCCTACAGAGAAAACCACACAAACTTCACAATTAAACTCTACCCAGAGATAATCAATGCAAAAGCTATTAATTTGAAATTCAGAAGTCAGTAAAAAAATTTAGTCTGTTCATGATTCAGAATAAAAACAAAAATTATAATAGGAAATGATTAGCATGGGAATTAGAAAATTTCACATAGCAACTTTAAAAATGTCCTGTATTTTACAAGGCCTGGTATTTATTACGAGGGGAAAATCACTTGGCAGCCACTGGCTTTGTGCTGTCGGCGTGTGAAAGGATACTCAGCACCAGGATGATGTGCGACTCGGCCACGAACTGAGCCTGGCTGCTCCCGTGGATGTAGCTCTACAAACACAAGACGAAGAAGCAAGCATTACAGGCTGTGGAGAGGATTTTTTTTGTTTTTGTTTTGAATATTTTGCAGTTTTCTGTCATGAAGATAATGGAAAAATCTATTAAACCCCATGTATAGTTCTTTTGAATAAAATAGTTAACTAGAAATAACATGAGAATGCTGGTGGTTGATACCGCTTTAAACTGTAGGAAGCAACTGAATATCACAATACTTACATCTTGTTAAAAAGTTAACCACAAACACAAATAATGATTTTTCCAGAGTTATTGCAAAATGATTGCATAAGGTACAGATTGGAGCAAGTAAGTATACTAAGTTTTCATCCATTAAAATAAGTAAAAACATGACCAATCAAATGAATTTTTAAGATAAGGAGATAGCTTTATAAATGCATTCATTTCATTAGAGCATTTTCATTAATTTTAAAAAGATAATTACTAAAACTGGTTTAGCTCATTGAGAATCGTACAGTGTTTCATGTCTTATAAGACCTGTGTTAGCTGGTGCCATATTATAGGAAATCTGACAGAAATCTTCATCTAGGATATTTTGCTTCTAAAAATCCAACTTCCACAGTATTTCAGCTGTTAATCTCCCATGAAAATTAGTTGCTTTGCAATTGCTTCTAATAAAAGTCCTTTCCCATGTTTTCTGTGCATAAAAAAATTCTGTAGAAAAAATAACTATGATATAAGATCAATATCCTCAATTTTACATCACATATGAAGGATAACTGTCAGTGAGAAATTTGGTCTTCTCTAAATTTTCCTATTTTTATTTTTGGCAATGCATATGGATGGAAGTTTGCATACTTTAGTAGAGACAGTTTTTAACTAAGAGAAAATTAGTCGTTCTTGGCCTGAACCCTAAATACATCACCAAATGTCTCTGATATTCAGTATCCCCTCACTTACAAAATTGGGAACAAAAGTACATGATTCCTACGATCTCTTTCAAGTATATAAAGTCTTGTTTTATCATTAATGCTATCTTGATATTTTCATATAAAAGCTGTTCTTTATACACTAAACTGTCTTTGTTTCCATCTCAAATTTCTAATTTCATAGTGCAGCTGCCTCATCCAAAGATGTATTTAGATGTATCCTTTAAGCACAGCTTCAAGCAAACTGGATAAAAACTATTTCTGGTCCACTTACGTTATATGTTCTGGGGAATCTTATATGTTTTCTTCTGATTCTATTTATTTAAATGTCCCTATATAGAGAAAGTACAGCTTTGAAAATCATAGAGCTAATCAGTTAAGGCTCTTAACATTAGTCAAGAATGACAATGTAGCAAAACAAATATCAATACTATAAGCTATGCTTGACATCAAGTTTGGTTGAAAACGAAGACCCTCCAAACTAGGAAATAAAGGTTTTATTTTAATAATTGTAACAGCAAGGATAATAAGCAAATAGAACCAAGTACTAATAATAAACTTATCGATCACTCATTTTGTATAAGACACTTAAAAGTTTTACATGCAATATCTCATTTAATTCTAATAATCCTAAAAGATGGGCATTTTTTATTATAGCCATTTTATAGATAAAGTACCTGAGGTTTAGGGGAGGTGAAGGAGCTTGCCCATGTTTTCATATTTAGTACATGAACACACTGGGATTTGAAATTAAGTCTCTGACTTTGGATCCTGAGCTCTTATTCAATCTCCTACCTTGTTATATACTGGACATTTGACTGGATGTTTCACATATGCTACCCCACTGTTCTTCTTAACACCATACAAAATCGTTATTATCGTGTCATCTTCCAAATGAGGAAACTGGATTTAAAAGGATCAATTTGCTTAAGATTGTACAACCAGTACTTGGTGCAATTAGGGCTGAAACTTGAGTCTAATGACCTCCAAGGTTCAAACCTTTTGCACCATACATTAATAACATCAAAAGAAAAGAAGGGAATCAAGTGAAACACTTTATAAAAGCTTTATCTGGCAATCACTTAATTAAATGATGATCATGAAAGTAATTAAAGTCAGTATTTGTACAACTGACTGAAATATGAGGACATAACAAGACTGGGTATTATAATGAGATTTATATAGACTAGAAGGTAGTTTGCCTATATTAGAATCACAGATTTAGAGAAGCAAGAACTTTCTAGGTAAGTGGTTTCAAAACGTTTTTAAGTAGTAGACTCTTCTCTGGTCAGAGCTGTCAGCAGACTTCCATATCTGAAGTTCTGTGGTCAGATCTCCGTCTTACGGGGCTTGATCTGATGAATCTGCTGCAGGTGATCGCTCTCTCCTGTCTTTGCAGTATTTCCTTCCCTTGACTTGGACGGGGTCACTCTGGGTTCTCCTACTTTCCTGGCTCCTCTTCATCAGGCCCCATGGCTGATCCCTTTCATTACCCTAACTCGGAGCTCCGGAGTAACTCAGAGCTGCAGAGACTTAAGCGCCTTCTCCATATTCCTCCTTCCCAGGCGTTCGCATCCGATCTCATGACTGTAATGATCATTTCCGTACTGCGGATTCCTGCATTTCTGCCTCCAGCCTGGGTCCTCAGACTTGCATCCAGCCTGCACACATCCGGCCCCACCTGGTAATCTAACAGTCTTCTTCATAATTAGACTCTACCTGGGACTGTAAAACTAAAACGGTCAAAACAAATTTTTGATATGCACTGCCCTCCCCATCCAACCCCCCGCCTTTCGATCCCAGAAAGAGCAACTTAATTTTTCCAGTTTTTTAGGCCAAAACCTTGAAATCATTCTTTTATCTTCCCACTTCCCTCTGTCCCTTTCCATACAGCCAGTCGTTGAGAAAACATGGTTAACTCTATTTTCAAAATCCATTCCACATTCAACCCCTTGTGCCCAGCTGCAGGAAGCGCTGGCAGAGAACCCCGAGGGCTAGAACACATGTAGCCCAGGCCCAGCAGTCACGTCTTCCCTGCGTGAGGGCAGCAGCCTCCTCTGTTCTCCCTGCCTCCACCCTGTGCTCCAACTGTCAGGTCAATCCTGCCAAAACGAAGCAGATTCTACCATTATGCTACCAGAACCCTTCAATTCTTTCTCAAATGTGTGAAGAAAATGCATCATTAAATCTCTTTTCTGCTTCCAGTCACAAAGACAGAGAACCCACATATCTCCAACTAATTTAAAAATGCAGCTAGGCTAAAAAAGATTCACGCTTGGTCCTTAAAGACTTATCATTGCCCTACTACAAATCTCTAACACTTGTGCTTATTTCTTGTACACACGAGGCGGGTCAGAGTCAAGGCTTGCAGACAGTCCTGCTTCCACCACCTGCTGTGACCTCATGAACAAATTTCCGAACCTCAGTGATCTCCTCTTTAATAGGGACAGGAAGACATCCTCAAAATGCTGTTCTAAAAGTCAAATAATGTGAAGTGACTAGCACAGTGCCTGGTTTTCTCAACAGTAATTAAGAAACACCCCAGGATAAATCATTTTAAAGTCTCTATTCCAAAGAAACTGTTTATATGTTCTAACCACTAGACGAGCATGCTTAAATGCCATTCAGAAATTCATTTTAACCGGTAAATTTAGTGTGTTAAACTGATAATTTGTAAAGATGATACGCAGGAACCTGTACTAAAATTTGGCTTTTGTCCATATTCTTTAGTTATCAAAATCACTTTAAGACCAGATACACAAAAGATTTCAGGGCTTAATACAGTAGAATTCATCTAATAAATTTTTACTGGGCAATTATTATGTCCTAGGCACTGATTTCGGCAATGGGATCCAGCATTACAAAAACAGAAAACAAACAAAAAACTGAAAAAAAGAAAACTATATTCTCATGAGTTTACACATTTAAACTGTGAGAACACATTTTGTCTATCGTAGTGCACCAGAGCGATTTCCGGCACCTACTAGAGGCCGGTGTGAGCAAACACAAGAATAAAGGATAAATATGCATTCCAGAGGTCTTGTGTATTAACCTTAGGAAGCTATCTTTCAATTAGGGGCCAGCTACTGTAATGCCTTAATCTAATTAAGATTGACCTAAGGTCCACATTTTAAGCTCTTTTTAAAAAATTTGAATTTAACTGATACATGTACTTTCAAATTCCTTTATAGAAGTAATAAGTAATGAATTCCTTTACAGCTTTAGCATGATGTTCATTTATATCTTTCTCTCTCTGATATCTGCTAATTCTCATAAGGAAGATATTAGTGAAGTGGTCATTGAATCCTAAAGATACACATATTTAACTTGCATTTATAACCACAGTGCATTTTCAGATTAAGCAACAAGACAAGAAGAAAATCTGTATGTCCTCTGATATTGAACATGTATCTATTTTTTCCATGGAGACAAATGGTTTGACAAACCGTTAATACAAATGTTCTTCCCTTATCCAGTCCATTGAATACTTCATAGAGCATACAAACTAAAATCAAGCAAAAGAATGATTAATAAATATTACTATATTAGAAAGTTCATTACCATGGCTTACTTAAAAGCCATTTTTATACAAGAGAAAAATTAGATGACTTCAAGTTTGCATAGCATAACATAAATATATATGAATAATACACTTAATTTCAAGTAACACACTTGAAAATAAATTAGTATGTTTTTTCATTACAGTGGTTCTGATACCTCTTACACAACAGTATCAGAAAAGGAAATGGAAATTTATCTAAATATAGTACATTTCAGAAGACAGAAGAAACTTTATTCCCTTTAGTTTATTCCTAAATTCTTGGAAGGTAAAAGCAGTAATTATGCTCTGCTTTTTCAATATATTAATTGTGCTGGTAGTGAGCAATCATTAAGGAGTCCTTTATGCCCTTAATATTCTGAAAATAGTAACGGCCGTGGGGCCAGCAGGTTGTTGTCTGAGAGGGCAGCCGTTGTAATGAAAAGCACGCTGAACTTAGAGGTCAGGACTCTTGGTTTCTAGTGCTGATGCTACGCATTCAGTTCAAGAAACTAGCTGTTAATCTTGATCAGTGCAATCATTTGGGTCTAAGTTTCCTAATCTGTGGA